GCACCACATAAAAGTAAAATAAAGGTATTATGTCCATCTAGAATTTTTTAAAAAGCTTCTATCAAACTACTAGTAGATGAAACCATCCATAACCTAATAAAGGGAATCTACCAGAACACAAAAGCAAAGTTCACAATTAAGGATTTAACAGGATTGCCTTTCAAGTGAAAAACAATACAATGATATTCTTACCCAATTTCTACGCTACTTTGTTTAGTGGTGCAAGTAAAGTAAATAAGATAAAACATACATAACAGCTTAAGGACTAGGAAGAAAGAAATTATCATTGTGTACATAGAGAATCAGGAAACTGATTCGTACCATTTGTGAAATTTGGTACATTTCAAAGGCAGTATTGAAGATCACTGGGAAAGGATGGTATTCAATAAAAGTAATTGGAGAAAATTTGGAAAAATTCTACAACTGGATCTCTAGCTCATACCCCATACAAAAATAAGTTCCAGGCATAATATAAAAGAAAATATTTAAATTTTTTTTAAGGAAAAGGATATCTTGCAACCTTGAAGTAATACAAGATTTCTCAAATAAGACTCAATAACCACAAATCATAAGGAAAAGATTGACAAATTTAACTACATTAAAATTAACATCTGTTCATCAAAAGAGAATTTTTTAAAGGATAAAGAATAGGACACAAATAGAATTCAGAATATATAAAGAACTTCTAAAAAGCTACAAAAAAGAAAAATGAGACAATAGATGAACAAACAAGATGAGATTACAAAAGTAAATGAGAGGAAACCCAAATGACCAAAAAAAAAAAAAGGATGAAAAATCCTGAAACTCACCAGTAATCAAGGAAATGCAAATTAAAACAGTGAGATATTTCATACCTACCCAATTGACAACAATTAAAACACTTAAAAGATACAAAGGATTAGTGTGAATGAGAGGCAACAACAGCAATGGGGTTGTGACCCCCATAGTCCTAGCTGCATGCACCTGGTCTCTCCCCCAGTAGCCAGCAGAGAGGAAATGTGAGCCAAAGGGACATGAAAATCAGCAAGGGCAAGGCTGGGCAGACCTCTGGCAGGAAACTGAGGTGGAGCTCAGGTCAGAAACGACAGCATCATATGTCAGTCTTGCCCAGGAGGTAAAACTGGGGCTCAGAACCATATTTTGCCAACTGTGGCAAACACCCTCAAACAGCAGCTGAGTTATTTTGATCATCTAAAGTCAATTTGATTGTGTTATTTCCTCCTCAAACTTTCCAGCCAGGACTGCACAGAGCAGAATTCCAGTGTGTACCAGTTTCTTACTGCTGCTGGAACTCATTTCCACAAACTTAGTGACTTAGCACAACACATATTCATCTTGCAGTTCTGGAGACTCTAGGAGAGAATCCATCTTCTTGCCTTTTCCAGATGCTATACACATTCCTTGTCTCATGATCCCCTTCCATCCTCAAAGCCAGCAAAGACAACTAAAATCCTCCCTTCATATCACTCTGACAGTGACACTTCTGCTTCCCTCTTCCACATTTAATGACCCTTGTGATTAGTGAGCCCATCCAGACAATCGAGGATCCCAAGATCATTTCCCTATTTAATATCATCTGGTGAGCAATCTGATTCCATCTACTATCTTAACTTCCCTTGCCAAGTAACTGACACATCACGTTTTCTGAGGATTAGGATGTGGACAGCCTTAGAACACCATCACTCTACCTACGGACAATCCTTGCTCCACTTTCCCCCCTCTTCCCTACAGGGTTCCAACTCCTTCACACCTCCACTCACACCTCCAGCATCTGTACCACCACACACTCTGTTCCCCAAGTACAACAATCTTCTCATCTTTATCTAATCAATTTTTATATATCTGTACACAATTATAATTCATCCTCTAGGGCTCAGGTTGCCTCCTCTCTGAAGGAGATCCCCAGTCTAATCACTCAAAGCCCCAACACTCTCACTGGACTTTCTGTATATCCCAACTGCAGCACTTTGTGCCCCTGAAACCATCTGTTTTCAAGCCCCTCTCAGTCCAACTGGTGAGCCCTTCAATGACAAAAACAGGCCTCATTCCCTGAGGTTCCCATGTCACAGCAACTAGCAAAGGAGACACTCAGAGTGTTCCTGAATTCTAAGTGACATTTTGCTGAGTTTCCTCAATTAAAAAGATGTTACAAATAAACTGGACTAAGTGTACAGCAAGTAGGGCCAAGGAATTAGGTCAGATAATCATACCAATAACACTTCAATCACCTACTGCTTGGCTTAATATGAATTAGTTCAGATAATCATACCAATAACACTTCAATCACCCACTGCTTGACTTAATATGAAATCCACTATCATGTGGAAGAATCTCTGTAACACAAGCAACACCATTTCTATTGCTAACCTGTGGGGCCATTCTAAACTAACTGATAAAATTAACCCCATGAGTAATAAAGTATTTATCAGAAATTATTTACATTCCTCAAAATTATATAAAAGAACTGACACTGCTCTAACAGCAGAAATATCTGGCAACCACCAATAAACCACCACATACTCAGCCCTCTCCTGAAAAGGCTGGAGATGTGAGGGTGGAACAAATGGTGCTTTTTAGGGAGACAAATTGCCCCATGCACACAAATATACATGCATACTGCAATAAAGGGTTCTTTTTGTTAGAAGGTGGTTATTAAGAAAACAGTCTCATTTAATTTCAATGGCTTGTTACTTGATGTTCATACTTAAGCAAGAAAACTCCCCCTGGAGAGAAGAAAGACTAAGCAAAAGAAAGAGAATGCTGAGTCAGCATAATTATCAGCTTTTTTTTTTTTTTTTTTTTTTAAATAGAGAAAGAGAATGATATGGTTTGAGCGTTTTAAAGGCATTCTCCCATTCAGGTTCAGCAGAACTTTCCTGTTCAACTTTTCTTTTAAAATGTGAAATCTGAAATTAATTTTAAAACATACTCTAAAAATCAATTTCACACTGGAAAGGAAGGTGTGAGAGGAAGAAATAGAAGACACCAATTCAGCACCATGGACAGTGGGCTCATACAGGGCCTGTGAGAGTCTTTGCCACTGGCACTGAAAGCTGAGGATGGACTTCCAATCTTTCAGTTATAAAGACCCCATTTGCGGGGCTGGGGATGTGGCTCAAGCAGTAGCGCGCTCGCCTGGCATGCGTGCGGCCCGGGTTCGATCCTCAGCACCACATACAAACAAAGATGTTGTGTCCGCCAAAAACTAAAAAATAAATATTTAAAAAAAAAAAAAAAAAAAAAAAGACCCCATTTGCCATCAAAACTCTTTCAAATCTTTAAAATTGAGCATAAATTGACTAAGTTTATAAAGTTTTATATATTCCAAAACATGGGTACTGAATTTACACTGTATAACAACCGAGTCTACACACAAGTGAAAAGGACACTACTCAAAGTGGAACACTCAGTAGTCCATGACTGCACTTGTGTCTGGAAACCCCCTGCCTGGTGACGGATCTCATGTCTGAAGACACTGTCCCAAGCTTCTCCAGCCCCTCTCATGAACAATGATCCCCCAGAGTGCACAATTTTGCAAACACTTCTAGAATCTACATTTCTCTGAGATTTCTTAGTTGATTAATTGTTCTTGCAGATGAAAAGGTTGGCAATTAGTTCTCAAAAAGGAATCACGCCTGCACACCTTTTATGAGTAAGTCCAAAGAAGAGGAAGGGGCAACGGTTTGCTTCAGGAGGCAAGTTCAGTTTCAGAGGCATAGTGAAGGCTTAAAACAGAGGATTGGCTTGGAATGGAGGGACTGTATGTCATCTACCTAGATTCAAAGGGCTGTTCTGCAAGGCTCTGCATCCACAGTTCCTTCTGGGGCACCACACACTATAAATCCTCATTAACCAACAGCGCTATTGGCTCACATACAGACTGAAGTAGACCTTCAAGTCCATGATCATGAGGGAAGGTCCCAGCTTTGGTCAACTTTTCCAATCTCCTAAAGAAGAAACATACTGACAATGTAGGGGAAAAAAATTGGAAAATACTAAGCAAAAAAGAAAAAGAAAACACTTTCAGTAAACACTTGTAGGGACAATAAGAAAAAGGTCCTCTCTGCCAGAAAAGAAAGTACAGTGACCCAAAAAGAGGAACCTGCATCAGCATCAGAGGAACCTACCTCTTCCTTAGCAGGGTCACCAGAAAGAGAGGAAAGAAAGGAGGGGGTCAGGGGAAGTAAAAGGGCAGCTGTTGATGGCTCGGGAGACTGCACCCCACGCCCTGCATCCACCCACCCGTCCGGGGTTTTTCCTGAAATCTCTTCAAAAAGCATTTGTGCGGTTTTGAAACTAAGGCCTCCCAAGTCCAGGGCGACGACCCAGCCCTGGTCAGTGATCCGCGAGCGAGGAGCCTGACCGCTGACAACTTCCCAATTCAGGGAAAGGACAGGAGGCAGGCAGCCCAGGTCCTCCGGAGCGCGCTGCAGCTGCGTCCGCTCGCTCCCCGACCCTGGGCGCCAGCCAGAGCCGGTCACCGCAGGACCCCTGCCCGGCCCGGGCCCAGACGCGCTCAGGACCCCCGCCCCGCCGGGGGCCGCCCAGGACACGCCCGGCCCGGATCCCGGCAGCACCTGCACGGGCTCGGGACCCGCGATCCGCAGGACTCCAGCCCCGCGCCCGGACCTCCGCGCAGGACCGCGTCGGCCCGGGAGCCCAGTGCAGGACCCCGCCCCGTCGTGGACCTCCGTCCAGGTCCCGGATTCCGCCCGCCACGCGGAGCCCCAGTTCGGCCCCGGGCTCCCGCCCGCCACGGACCCTCGCCCACCACCTGGGACCGCCCCTTGGCCCGGGCCCATGCCTCGGGACCCTGCTCAGCCTGGGACCCTGCTCAGCCTGGGACCCTCAACGGGCGCCAGGGGCCCTGCCCGCCCCGGCCCGGGGGAAGTTTGCGGGCCGCGGGCCTCAGGGTCCTCGGCCGCTGGCGGGGCTCGTCCTCCCGGGACGCGGGGTGCGCTGTGCCCCGGCCCCGGCCCCGGCCCCGGCCACTCACTCACCTGTCCCGCGGCGGGCGGCGAAGCCACGGGCCAGCGGCGGAGATCGGGCGGGGCGGACGCGCCGGCCGGGCAGGGCTGAAGCAGAGGACCTCGCTTGGCGCGGAGCCTGTGGAGACCGAGCGGCCACCCAGGCGCCGAGGGTGAAGGCTCCTCAGGGCTGAGGCGGCGGCAGCGGCTCCTCGCGCTCCAGCCTGAGCGTTGCGCGCGGCTCGGGCCCGCCCTCCCCTCGCCGCCGACCAATCCCAAGTCGCGCGCTGCCCCTGGCCCCTCCCCCTTCCAGAGGCAGGGCTCGCGAAAGAGGGCAACGCGGGCCAATCGGACGGCGGGACGGCGAGCAGGGCGGCCAATCCGCGCCCGGGAACCTCTCCAACACGAAGCCAACTAGCGTCCGGGGCGGGGGCGGGGGCGGGGGCGGGGCCCGGGGATTAAGGGAAATCCAACCCAATGGCGGTCGGGGGCGGAGCCATTCTGGGGCGGGGCCCAAGACAGAGGCGGAGCGAAGCCCTAGAGGGAAGGGGTGGGACCATAACGGGGAGGGGCCTGGGCGGGGCGACAAGGGCGCGGCCCGTGGCCGATCTCTGCCAGACGTAGGCGGCCTAGGTGGGGTGCGGCAGGAGATGCAACCTGGGTCCCCCCCCACGCACGGGCCTGGGATTGGGGGCGGGGCCACACGTGGTCTAGAGGGCGACGAGTGGATACCAAGAGGCCGCTCGGTGCGGGTTCCCAGGGTAGTCCCCGCGGCCTCACCTCCAAATCCCCGCGGGTTTCAGGCGCGCTGCTGGCTCAGGCTGCAGCCTCTGAGCTCCATGGGCCAGGGTCCTGCGGCGGTCAGTTGGATGCGCGGCCTTGGGTACCCTGCGATCGGGTCCGGGACCCTAGCCCCCTCCCCGGGTATCCTTTCCTGCGCACGCGACCTCTACACCCCTGCTCGGCCCAGACTCAGGGCTGAACTTTGGCATGCTGCTCGCAGATGCCTGGGCCAGCATACCTGTCCGCAGGTGGCTGAAGCTGTCCGAAGAGTTGGCTGCCTTGGCCGTCTTCAGGGAACGGAATGTTTTAGTAGTTTTTATTTCAGGAGTCTTTGTCCACTCTTCCTTGGCTGCGTTTTTCTTTGTTTTGTTTCTATTGTGGTCATTTTCGTCTCATTTGTGATCCTGGCCTATTATTAGCACATGCTTATTGCTTCCAGGGCATCACCAAAGGGAAAAAGCAGACACTCTTGCCTTGGGCAGAGGTTCGGGTGTGGTTCAGAGACCTGCTTTCTGCTGCATCCTCATTCCCTGGAGCCAAGGGTCCCACCTTACTGCCTTCCTGAGGTCTTTGGCAAGGAGAAGGGCCAGACAGACACTAGAAGTCTCCAGGAGGTTGGGGACTTAGTACCCAAGTCCCCAAAAGCCCAGGCCACAGGCCTTGGGGGACAAGGCCTGGGTGCCAGACTTTTTCCTCCACGGTAGCTTTAACAGTGCCCATTGGCAAAGTTGACTGAGAGATGGGGCAGGAGCATTTCCCAGCCATCTCTGTGGGAAAATGGGTGGCCTCTCTGTTACCTCTAGGCCTTTGTGAGCAGTGAACAGGTGGGCAGAGGCAGGAGGAGGTGGGATTCAAACTGAACAAACAAAACTATCATCCAGCCCAGAGACCTCAGACACTTCAGACCACCCAGTGAGGACAATACTGTGCCTTAAAGGCCTAGGACCCCCTGCTGCACTCCCTGCCTCCCCTGAGGGGTAAGAGGGCCTTTGAAGCTTGCCTGCCACTCCTGCCTGTCACAGCACTTTAAAGTTCTCTTCTTTCAAAACATGAAGAGCCTCATAGACCTGAACCTCATTATGGTTCCTGAGCCCATGGGCACATCAAGAAACAGGTAGGGCTCAAGGACAGGTGTCTGTGGAATCCACTGGCAGGGACAAAGTTCTGTATTCCACATGAGATACAGGCCGCAGTTACTGGGTGGGATGGGTAAGAAAAGTATATTCTCCTTTATGTTTAAATGTCACCAGAGTAATTCAAAGACAAACTTTAAAAAAAGAAAGGACCTGAGTAGGGGTTGAAAAGAAGGTGTCCCTGAGGCTCCTGCCTGGAGAACCCGGATGTACGTGGGTAGATTTCCAATCCTGTGCTTTAGGAAAACCCTTCCAATGGTAGGGAGGAGGACAAAGGAGGCGAGGGAGGCCTGGTGGAGGATCACCAGGAATGCTGGGAAAGCATGCTGAGAACCAGGACCTCAGGATAAACGAACAAGAGAGGTCTGAGGTAGACCCCTCCCACAGGACTTGGGGCCAGGGACCCCCACTCCCAACCCCATTCGAGCCAAGGTCACAAGGGTTCACAGCACCTGATCCCATGTCCCTGCTGTCAGCCTCCCCAGGACTCTGCATGCAGAAGGGCTAGAGGGACCCTGGGGGTGTTCCTCTGGAGGCTGGAGCTGGGGTGGGACTCTGGGCAGAGTACTCTTATGCCCGAAGATTACAGGCTGCCAGCCTCCCACACCCACCTTCCAGGAGCCAGGCTTCTCAGCTGCCTGCATTGCCTCCTGGAAGGCACAGTTAGTCATTAGAAGAGTAATGATAGTGTTTTCAGGGCAGCGAGTTGGACCCTAACAACTTTCAATTATTTCCAGTTCCTGCCAACCCTGGGAAGAAAAAATGCAGATCATCTCACGGCCCCGCCCTTGACACACAAGACAATCCCATCTGCTTCACTCTGTCTGCACACTCTGAACCTGCAGCAGGGCAGCCCCCACCCAGGCTGGCAGCTGACATCCCACATCACCTCGCAAAGCGCTGGCAATGCGCAGTCTGTGCATCACCTCTGCCCCGCCCTCCCTGGGCTTCCTGCCTCGCATTATCCCTGAGAGTGCGCCGTCCACCCCTGCCGGCCTTCCCAGAAGTGCCCCCCGGAGCTCCTATTTATAAATGCTCCGTGTTGTCTTGTTGGGGGCGTGGAGAGGGGAGGAAAGGAGCCTTATAATTATCACTGCCGGGAGTGATGTCAGACCAAGCCCTAGGAAGTCTCCAAGCTCTAGCTTGGCCTTCCTGATTGTCACGCTTATCCCTGCCACCACAGAGTTGGGACATCTGGAGGCATGCGGGCGGGAGCCTTCTTTAGCTCCATGTTAGATGGCTAAAAGTGCCAGGGAAATAGTGAGACACAGAAAGCAGTCACGGTGGTAATTAATGTCGAAGTCCTCGGGGACAGGGAGGCCTGCCCCGCCCTGCAGCCTCGCAGAGCTCAGCCCTTCCAGGCGACACCAGCTCTCAGATTTGAGTGTGGATTGGAAGGTGTGGCCTCCGCTGACCTCCGCTGACCTGCAGGAGGACTCCGCCTCGGTGCTGAGCCTTTCTGCGGTAAGAACTCGCGGGGCCGCCTCTGACCCGCAGTTTTGCCTGGTGGAAAGCGAAGCGGAACGTTGCCGCTGGTCCTCCTCACCCAGCACCGCCGAAGTCCCTCTGCGAGGACCCGCCCCAGAAGCGCCGGCCAGCGCCCAGGTGGGCGGGGCAGTCTGCTCGGGGAGAGGAGTGCGAGGAGGGTGCGGAAACCGGGAGGCAGGAAGCTAACGCCGGTACCAGGTGCCCGGGCCGGGAACTGCGAAAACACAAACATGCGCTCTGGACGTCACTTTCTTCTTTTTTGATATCAAAGATAACAAATGGGGGCTGGGGTGGCGGCTCAGCGGTGCAGCATCGCCTAGCACATGCGAGGCCCTGGGTTGATCCTCAGCGCCACATAAAAATAAATAAATAGAATAAAGGTATTGACAACTACAACTAAAAAATAAATTATATACGTGTGCGCGTGTGTGTGCGCGCGCGCGCGTGTGTGTGTAACAAGTGGGCCTGACCTAATTTATCTGGTTGTCCCTGAAGTCAATCGTACTTCCGTTGGATGAGGCAATTTGTGGGCCCCTCTTGTGGCCGCCCCTTGGAAGAGGCGGGTCAGCAGCTGTGTGCTGCCTGGCCTGCTGGGTCCCTGACCTACAGGAACTGAGAGACCGCAAAGCAGAGACCCGCGCGGCCCACAGACGGCCCCACTGGAACGCCTAGGTGGCCGGTGCTGGGAGCCATTAGCCAAGTAGGTATGACAATTTCCTTGCCAGCGTACCCCATGTTGCTGACATTTTGCAGTGACATTGAATGTAGGTGACCTTGCTCAAGGACCAGGGCGGATTAGGGTGTTCCCGGTTTAAGATAATCGGGTTTAGGGCGTTCCCAGTTTAGGTTCCAGGTTTAAGGTTTAAGATTATTCCTGCTGGGAATAGGGCGTATCCTGCTGCCTGAGTTCCCCTTGAGTTCTCACGGGATTCAGACAGTATATTTTGGAGATAGAAGCCCAGTGGGTGTGGATTTGGGCAGAGAACGTGGATTTCCCCAGAACGTGTTTGTAGACGGCTGGTGTGAGTTAGGGAATAAAGAGTTGCTGTTTGAATCTGCAAGCTGTGTGGTGGCTGGTGATTGTGTGCCCAGCCAGACTGCGGCAGGCCGGCATGCATGGGGGGCGTCCACGGGGACTCCCGTGAGGAGACAGTTTTTCCACGCTCTCCCCTCTGGGGCTGGGGCGTAGCCTGTGCCCTCCAGCTGCCCCGCCTAAACTTCTGCCTCCCAGACCAGAACCACGTTCTACAGAAGTTCTTCAGTGTGTTCGCATCCCTCCAGACTCAGCCAGACCCATGTCACCTTCCCCGTGCTGGAAGCAGAATGGACACAGGCATGGAGAGCTCCCCAGAGGGCTCTGAGATGTGAGGGGCTGGTAGTGATATTCGTCCTGCAGACGTCAAAGGCATCCCAGTGTTGGCAATGTGGATTCAGGCCCTTCGTGGAGCAGATGGTTTTGAACCCTGAAGAAGGAATCATCCTGGGTGAGAAAGAGGCCCACAGGCACTAGCTTATGGCCTTCCAGGAGGGGCCAGGTCCCTACAGTTGTCCCCACCATCTCCAGTAGACTGGGGCTGGATGCCAGCTTGCCTTCAGCCTTCACACCGTGTAGGGAGAAGGGATGCCCCCAGAGAAGGGTCCAAGAAGTTCCTGCAGAGATGGGAAAACTTCTCCCAGGACCAGTGAAATCCTTGGCTTGGGTGATGGACAAGAATTTCAGGCCAGGCCAGTCAGAGCCACAGACAGAGGTTATTAGGGAAGCAGATCCCATTCAAGGGAGAATGTAGGCCATCTTGAGAGTGAGAGATGGCTTTG